AATTTTTTAAATATATATTGTTGCATACATATATAAACACACACACACACACACACACACACACACACACACACACCGCCGCACGCACGCACACACGCACGCACGTATGCACGCGCGCACGCATGCACGTACGCACAGACTATTCAATCTAAAATATGTTTAAAACGGTAAAAATTCTTTAAAAGGAAAATATTTTTGGTTTGTGCACAGTTTGATTACACACCTTGATCAAAAAGTTCCCGGAATTACCATCAGGTGATGCTCTGAGTCAGCTGATTTGAGTTCTGTTTTTTTGGTTAGGTTGCCATGTCTATCATTGATATTCCCACCAAATTTTATCACGATAGCTTGTTAAAGTTCCCACCAAATTTTATCACCATAGCATTTGTAAAAGTTATGCCGTCTTGAGTATATCTATCTCTGCACGTATTTTCGATTTTGGATTTGTGGGCAAACAACTGAATTTTGCACCATGATAACGCAACGTCGCACAGTGCCACCATTATCCGTGAATTTTTGACCAAGAACGAAACGAATACCATCCAACAGCCATCGAATTTGACATGGCTCCCTGCGATTTTTTTCTGTTCGATTGAGTCAAAAAACCATTACGGGGAATGCGTTTTAACAGCCAAAAGGAGGTAATGGAAAAATCGAAGACGGCTCTGATGGGTATATCGATAATTGAGTTCCAGAAGTTTTGAGAGCTGGATCAAGCGCTGGCATAAGTGCAATCGATGGGGAATACTTTGAAGGGGACAATATCACTTTTGATGAATAAAACTTGTATTTTGAATTTTCTGAATGAATTCCGGGAACTTTTTGATCAAGGTAGTATATGTAGTATGTGTATTATAATAAAATACCATAATAAAGTTGTGATCACATTTAAATAAAACTCTAAGTATGATTAATACATAATTAATATTTATTCTATGATTTTTTTACATAATCTACAATTAGTACATGGTTATTTTTTGCTATCAAAAAATTTTATTTTTTGCAAAGTTTAGAATTTATAATTTTACTAGTTTTATAGTTTACTAACTATATGTTAAGGACGTTCTCCGACTGCAGTTGCGCACATTAGTGCTCACATTATGAAAATTTTTATGAAAATTTATTCCATTTTTATATAATGTAAGATATTCCATAAGTGTTAATGTATTTATACAAGTTTTTTTATACTATATAAAATACGTCCTGTCTTCGCTACTGCTGCGGAAAAAATAGCGACTTTACTTACTGTGTTACTTATTTTGCTTAATAATTTCTTAAAAACGAATATCGGAAGCCATATTCAGGCAAATTTCATATTATTTCTTGTGATATCAAGTTTTATTTCTCATTGTTTAAAAAAATTGTTAAAAAAAAATTTTTTACAGTAAAAAAGTCACTTTCGAATAAGCTTTAGATAGGGATCCTATGTACATATATATATATATATATGTGTGTGTGTATGTGTATGTATATATGTGTATATATGTGTATATATATATATATATTTTTTTTTTTTAACGCTTCAACTTTGAAGTGGAATATTTCAATTTTTAATTCTGCTCTGGGTATTTTAAAGCACATATGTTCAAGACATTAAAACAAGCTTATTTTGTAGTTTCAGAAAAATCTAAAGAAAATGAATTTTTTCGGAGAACGTCCTTAATGAAAATATTATATTTCAAAATGTGCAAATTTTTAACATGAAGTTTAACCTTCTTCTTTAAAACAAATTAAAAGTCAATAGGATTATTTACTTAAAAATTATAATTTTTTTTATAGATAGGACATATATATCCCGAAGGTACGAAAAGGTTAAAGAATATTCGGAATTACAGATTTTCAATAAGTGTTAGATTAAAATTTTAAATACTTCTTATAATAGTGTAAACATGTTTATGAGAATTTCATATCGCAATATTTGATATAAGTGTTACACAATTATTAGAAAAAATAAGAACAAATAGACATGTTCAAAATTGCGACGATATGCTTTTTGTTATACATATCTTTATATTTGTATATTCTAAATATGTGTTAACTATCTCTTATATGTATACTATATATCTTATTTATCTAATTTCATGATTATTCATAGATAACCCTTTAGATAATCTTCAATTACAGCTATGAAAACTACATCTAAATTCTGAAGTGTCTAGCTTGAAGTATAGAATGCAAGTGAACCTCTGTCTTACAGTGATTGAAGGAAAAGGTTCCAAGTTTCTTTTATTTATAATTTAGAATCTCATACGGATTGTCCAATTGTTAAAAAATTTTTATTTAATAATCAGTTGCTGGTTGACGTTAATCAGTTGCTAATTGAAGGTTAACAACGTAAATATATTTACATATATAAAAATATTTAAAAAAATT